GGCTGGGGGTGCGGTTCCACGCTGGTTCTCAGAGCCGCGGGGCGGGGCGGGGCGGGGCCCGTGGGCAGCTGTGCTCCTGGCTGGCGAGGGCGGAGGACCTCACTCGTCACGGCTGTTCTTGCTGGGACGCATTTCTTTTCGTGCTGCGATCCAGGAAGGGGGTTCCCATGTGGAAAGTGTCCGGTTGGCTGCAGCCAGGGCAGCGGCTGTCAGGCTGTCTCGTCGGCCTCTCTGGACGGACAGGCCTGGCAGCGGCACGGGGCAGGGGTGGGGGGTGTCCCGCTGCTGCTCCCGCCTCTCTCCTTCCCCAGGGGCTGTGACTCGCATCGTTTCGTGTCACATGCCTTGTTTCTAAAGTGAAGTTGTCCTAAACTGTTAGAGATAGCTGCTTGCACAGAACACAAGATGCACAGTTTGGTGTCCAGCACTTTTATGTTAACGTCTCACTTTTCTGGTCGCACCGTTAGAGGTGAATCTCTAGTTTACTGGCCCTTGGTTGTGGGCCCCTTGTTGCTAGTGCCATGTTCCCCACGTGGCTCCCTGCCGTGCCCTTTGTGTGAATCTGTGCCTGCACGTGGAGTGAGGCCGGGTGCCAGTACTTTGAACTCTGTGTGGGTCCAGCTCCAGCTTCTTGGGGGGACAGCTCTGGGTAGAGAAGCTGCCTTCTCTCAGCCTCCTTGGGAGGGACAGATGGCCAGTGTGCCCGTCGAGGCCCTGTGGCGGGGACGGGGGCACAGGCAGGCTGGCATGGTCAGCAGCTGGCCCAGTGCTGTCTGCTGGTGCCCTCCCCCAAGGCACCTCCTGGTGTGGAGCTGTGGTCCCAGGAGAGCCAGAGAGGTGCCCGGCATCCTACTGACCTGGTCGTGCAGTTTGGCCCAAGGCCCTGAAAGTCCCTAAACTTAAGTGTCTGCGGTGAGGGAGTGGGTGGGGCGGCTGAATTGTGGGGGCTGTCGTTGGAGCAGCTCACACAGAAGTGACTCGTTCAGATCCAGTTGCTCGTCTCTGACGGTGGTGACCTCACAGATAGAGCAGTGGACTCTGGTGTCTGGTGCAGAAGCCGTGCTGGCGGCCTGGTGACAGTGGGGCAGTGGTGGAGAGGAGGGTCCAGGCCGCTTTTCCTTATTCCTGCGGTGTTTGTCCACTCCAGGCCCTGCTGCAGATGGTGTGTGATGAGAGCCACCACATCCTGGCTCTGTCCGAGTGCCGTGGACCGCCCAGCGTCCTGAGCAGGGGCGAGCCCAGCACCCCCCTCGAGCGCCTCCCACAGGGGTGCCGGGGGCTGCTGGAGGCAGCAGCGCCTCCGAGGGGGCACCCCACCCCAGCACCCCGAAAGGGAGAGAAGGTACAGGCATTCTGAGTAAAAGAAGAGCAGTGGGCTGGGCCAGCTTGAGGGCTCTGCTTGGCCACAAGGTGGGAATAAGGCAACGAGAGGTGGGTCAGCGGCGGCAGCGAGGCCGTGTCCCAGCCAGCCACCCCCTCACTTGTGTTCTCTAGGCTCCAGCCACATGCCGGCGCCTTCCAGGCCTTGTTAGGGCAGGAGAGGCTGCGGGGAAGGGAAGGGATGGGGAGATGGGCATGCAGGCCGGGCCTGAGGCCACAGGGTCTCAGTGTCCACGCTGCAGCCGAGGGCCAGCACAGAGGTCATGGCCAGGTACTGAAGCCATGCAAGGGGAGCCAACAGGCCATGGGGCAGAGGGAACAGTGGGCCAGCCTTCAATCTTCAGGGGCGAGGAGTGGGCAGCACAGACTGGGTGCAGAGGGCAAAGGGCAGCCAGCCCGCTCACGGCCCGCACGGCACACACACCTGCAAACGCCCTGCTGCCACCCGGGGCCCTGGCCTCTCCTGGACCGGGGCTGGTGCGCAGTTAGGTGGGGGTTGCCCCGTCTCACCTCCCTCGAGGGCAGCCCTGGCTCCTCGTGCCCCAGCTGGTCCTGGGCACTTGTGCACCCTCTTCAGTCGGGGTAGGTTCTGTCAGATCTGCAGGATGCGTATGTAGGAACACCGAGCTCCTTGTTCTGATACTTTAGGAACCTTCTGACCTGGGCCTCGATTGGAAGGGAGAATTTCTGCAGGTTGTCCAGGAAGCCTTTGAAAAAGAGCGAGAGATGCTGAACGTTGAGCTGCGGCCCCGACTCTGTGGTTCGGATGTTGGGGGCTGCAGCACGCTGTTGGAGAGGCTGGAGAAGGTGGTCCAGGAGCAGGTGAGCTAGCCTCGACCTCCAGAACCCCCCACCCCTAACAGAGGGCGATGGGAGCTTCGGTTCCCATGTTTCACCTGACCTTAGAATGTGGTGGAGATTGAGGGGCAGACCCTGCTTCAGTCTAAGGATAATGCTGCGTTTTTATGTGTGAATTCCGTGAAGTGGAAAGCTTTATAGATTGACCCTCTTTCACAGCCTCACTCTGTTCTGAAAATAACTGGCCTTTCCTTGAAAGCAAAAGGCCAATTCCAGGCGGCCCAGCCCTGGCTTGTGAGCGCTGAGCCTGGGGTCTGAGGGTTGGAGGGTCTGCACTGAGAGGGCACTGGAGTCCAGATGCCAGGCATTGACCAGGCCCAGGAAGCGAGACCAAGGTGCTGGGGGCAATCTGAGGGTCCCAGGGCCACTGTGCCCACGTTCCGTGCCACACAGTTGTCACACTTGTCTTCCTGCGAGCCTGCTCTTGCCCTGGTCGAGGACTAGACTGAGACCCGTGAGCTGTGGCAGTGATGCTGGGAGCTTGAGTTTGCAGAGCAGGGGCTGCTCTTGCCTGGCCCCCCAGCCCTTGGGACCTCCTTCTCCTGCCATGTCTGTGATGTCCCCTGACCGCTCCCCTCCCCGCCCCATCTGCAGGGGGTGCTGCGGGAGAAGTCCTTGGAGCACCTTCGCCTGTCGGACAGGAGCCGCCTGCTGTCAGAGATCCAGGCTCTGCGCGCCCAGCTGCGGATGACGCACCTGCAGAACCAAGAGAAGCTGCAGCAGCTGTGTGCGGCGCTGACCAACACGGAGGCCCGCGGAAGCCGGCGGGAGCACCAGCTGCGGAGGCAGGGTGCGCACGGCCCTCGGGCTCCCTAGGCCCCAGAGCACAGGACACGTGCCGGTCAGGGCCGGCGCTGGGGGCGCCGCGGGGCCACTTGCATGAGGGTCTCAAGCTCACGTGAGGCTTGAGGGCCCTGTTGCAAGTTTCTGTGTTTTATTTAGACTCTGGGGTTTTCACACAGACACATCTGTGAGCATAGAGTACTTTATTTTCTTCTTCTTCCCCGTCTACTTCCCGTTCTTGCCACTGCTCGCGGGGCTCCCGAGTGCTGGGTGACAGGCCGTTTCTGTCCTGGGGCGGCCTGCATTCCAGCCACGACCCCTCAGCCTGGAGCCTCATGCTGCATGTTTCTGGGCTGGATTTGCTAGCCTTTGGCATTTTGTTCATGGGGGTCCTGGTTTTGGTGTCAGGGGGATGCCAGCCTCCTGGAGGACCGGTGTCTCCGCCCCTGTGTTCTCCACGGGACTCTGTAGAAATGGGATTATTTCCTCCTTGGTTTTGGGAGAGTTCTCCAGTGAAGCCTGGTGGGGGGCAGGCAGTGTAGGAGTGGTGGGTGAGGTGGGTTTCGGGGTGACTACAGGGATGGTTGCATCTGTTCTCCGTGCACCAGGCAGGGTTGGGTCTGAGCGGCCTTTCCTGGTCAGGCCCTTTTCGGCCCACCTCCAAACTCTGCCTCTGGGAGACCACGCCCTGGGGGCTGCGTTGCACCTGCAAGTCCTGCGAGGCTGGAGGATGTCCTGCCCACTCTCTGCCCGTGTCTCTTTGCTCCTCACCAGCCACGAGGGCAAGGCTCAAGGGGGTGTGAGCAAAGGGCGTGTGTCCCACGTGTCCTCTCTCAGCAGAATCAACGCTTTTGGGTCATGGGAACTTCATGGTCTCCCGAAATGATTACATCCTGTCCCCTTGGTCTGCTTTTAATTTTGTTAAGTCATTTGCAGCTCCCTGTAGCCTCCTGAATAATGATGTTTCACGTTTAATCTCTTTTTCAGTTGAGTTACTGGCCTATAAGGTTGAGCAGGAAAAGTGTATAGCGAGCGATCTGCAGAAAACCCTGAACGAAGAGCAGGAGAAAGCAAATCACGTTCGGAAGCTGCTGGTGGTGGAACAGAGTGCGGTCAGGGACCTAAAGTCCGAGCTGTGCGAGTGCAAACAGGACAACGAAAGGCTGCTGCAGTCCCTCAACGATGTGCAGAAGGAGGTCCTCCAGCTGAGGTGCGTCCACACTGCCTGGCCTGCCCTCGCCACCTCTTCCCACCCTGGCTTCCACTCCTCAGGAGGAGCAGTGGAGCTCGCATGGCTCCTGCTGTGTTTGGTGGGGAGCATTCTGCTCCCACGTGCTCGTGGGGGGCCGAGCACTTGGGCCAGGAGGTGGCAGGGCCTGCCTTCCCTGCCTGAGAGCTTCGGGTGCTGGCGCATGTCCCTCTGAGAGTGCTGTCCCCACACAGGTCGGCGCTGGACAGTAAGGAGAAGGACCTGGCGAACGCGCTGCAGCAGCTGGAGGGCGAGCGGGTGAAGGGGCAGGCCCTGCAGAGCCGGCTGGACGAGGAGCGGCTGCAGTACCTGCAGAGGGAGGGCCAGAGCGCCAAGACCCTGGAGGTGAGGGTTGCAGCCAGTGGTCCTGCCCGAGGATGAGGCTTCGGGGTGGTGCGGGGGCCACACCTTCAGGTCACAGAGCGCCTCTTTGGTGACGGACAGCATGGCTGCTCACAGTTCCCACCACCTCTGCACATTTGCTTCTGCAAGGTGGACGCAGCAACAGAGCCTTGTGGCAGAGGCTGCGTGTGTGGTGGTGCCTTGTGTGGCAGCCATAGTGGCCATACCTGGCGGTCTTTTATGATCCTGGACAAGCTGACCACCGTTCAGTGGTTACGGCGAGGCTGCCTTTTACCAGCACAGAGCTGCGGTTGACACAGGTGGGCGAGTATGACTGAGTCCTGGGTGTTGTGGTTGAGGGCAGGGAGATGAACCCGGACGTGTACGCTGCCGTCAGAAGTGCCTTGACCGCGAACAAGGCAGGCAGAGTCCCAGGAGGAGCCACACACATACTCTGTCGGTGTCGCGATACCATGCACACATACACACCGTATGTGGAGAGAGCTGATGGCTACTCTGAAGCTTTATTATGTTGCACAGTCTTGTACAGCAAAGAAGAATGACAAGGGTTATGGTTGACAGGCAGCGTCTGGCTCGAGGTCAGAAGACCCTTCTTGTTTTGGTAAATCATGTTCGTGTTGGCACCAGCGAGCCTTACAGCTTATCAGGGCGGAACGTATGAGAAACGGCTGCTTTACAACATTCTTCCTGGACTCAGGCGGCTGTGCCTGTCTCAGGTTGCCCCCCTCTGGGGATCTTACCCGTCCTTGGCTAACCAGCCTTCTCACCTCTGAGTCTGCAGCTTTTCAGAATTTGTTTGCCATTCCGGCCCTTGGTTCCCACAGTCGGGGGCCAGCACACTCCTCTCACCCACCCAAGGGATCACGTCCAAACGTTTACCTGCTGGGTTGGGGGCACAAACAGACGTGGGCAGGAAAAGTGTTTAGACACTTTTGCCCTTGATTTAATTCTTCTGATCTGTTTTTCCATGACACAGGAGCTAAGAACGTCTTTGGAGAAGCAGTTTGCTCATAGTAACCAGCTGTGCGTCGCCCTGGAACACGAGCAGACGGCAAAGGACAACCTCCGGAAGGAGCTGCAGATCGAGACCTCACGCTGCGAGGCGCTGCTGGCCCAGGAGCGCGGCCACCTCTCCGAGCTGCAGCGGAGCCTGGAGGCCGAGCAGGGCCGGGCACGGGAGTTGTCGGAGGCCTTGCACCACGAGCGCCTCTTGACCGAACGGCTGAGCCGGCGGGCGCAGGAGAAGCAGGCGCAGCAGGCGCACCAGGCGCTGCTGCAGAAGCTGAAGAGCCAGGGGGCCCGCGTGCGGGAGCTGGAGGTGGCGCTGGACACAGCCCAGCGGCGGGCCCAGGAGGCCGAGAGGGAGCAGGAGGTAAGTGCCGCGCCGAGGCCCACCGTGGAGGCCCTGCAGACCCTGGAGAGAGAGCGGGAGAGGCCTGTGCGGGGCCAGGCAGAGTTAGAGCAGCCGCACGCGGGACGGGCAGAGCAGGAAGGACGCAAGGCCGCGAGGACAGGAGCGGAGCTGAGGCCCAGCCGAGCGGACGCGCACAAGCGGAGGAGGTGGCAGAGAGACAAGGAGACGCTGGTGAGCCCGCTGCGGCCTGGGGGCCTGTCCTGGTGTCCGTGCATCCCTCCTCAGAACACGGCCGCCTTGTAGCAGGTTGGAGGTCAGGAAGTGTGTGAGCGCCGTCTTTGCTTTTCACGTGGGTTTGGGTGCTCAGGGCCCTGGCCGCTTCATGAGCACCTGAGGATGGCCTTTCCATCCCTGCAGTGAGGCCCCTGGGAATTTGGTCAGGGTTGCGTGGATCTGTGGTTCGCTTTGGGGAGTACCGTCCCCTTAATGTTAGGTCTTCTTGTCCGCGAAGTTGGAAGTTCTCTCCATTTATTTAGGTTTTCTTTAATTTCTTTCAAAGATGTTTTGGCCCTTTCAGGTGATAAGCTTTGTACTTCTTTTGTTAAATTTATTCATAAATATTACTTTTTGATGCTGTTATGTGTTTAGTTGACTTTACTTTCACTTCCAGATAGTTGTTTGCTAGCGTGTAGCAGATACAGGTGGTTTTTATACCTTGTCTTGCGTCCTGCAGGCTTGCTGAACTGGTTTGTTAGTTCCGGTTTTTTAATGGGTTCTTCGGGATTTTTCATGTAAAAGAGCATGTTATTTGTGAATAGACCGTTTCACTTGCTCCTTTCCAACCAGGGTTCCCTTCTCTCGTCGCCTTGCCGGCGCCTGGCTGGCACGCCCGGTGCACCATGCGCCAGGCCGAGGGCAGCATCCAGCCCGATTCCTGAAATTGGCGCCGAGTTTGGTGGCAGCTGTGGGACTGTGGACACCTTCAGCAGGGGAGTGCCCGTCTGTTCTGGTTTAGCGGTCTTTCCTATCTTTGTTTTCAGTCACGAGAGAGCACGGGATTTGGTTTTTCAGTTTTTCTTGAGATTTATGGTTTGCCCTCCTGTTGGTACGATACCTGGTGCTGATTTCACGTGTCGAGCCGTCCTTGCCCTCTTGGCAGACTCCCACTTGAGTTTGCTGTGAGTTCTTTTCTCTCTGTGCTGGATTCAGTTTGCTAGTATTTTACTGAGGACTTCATTGTACTTTGCGTTTATATGTGTAAGGGGTATTGTTCTATAGTCTTTTGTGATGCTTTGGGGGTTTTTTTGGTTTTGGTTTTGGCTTTTTTGTTGTTGTTGTTAGGATGATTTTGACCTTGCAGGATGGGCTTGGAAATGTTCCCTCCTTTATTTTTTGCATGGGCCTTAATTTTAAACATATTTTATGTCAGTGGAAGCCTTTACTTCTGAGGGAAGTATATCTTCTGTCTTCTCATGAATTGACATTTTGCTCTCTTTAAAAATATTATTTTAAAACTTCAAAAAACACACCTTTATTATTTCTGTGTTTTGTGAAATTATAAAAAGCTTTTAATACGCACAATGAAAACCAATGGCCCAGTCTTTTTAATGGCTAGCCTGCCGTGAAATGGTTGAGAAATGAATATTCATTATTATTCATACACACCACCAAGTTCACCAGTGTAAACTGCACAATTCAGTGGCTTTTGCTGTATTCAAAGCGTTGTGCAGCCGTCACTATGATCAGTTTCAGAACATGCTCGTCCCCCAGATGGAGCCCTGCACCTGTGCGGCCCTTCCAGCCCCTGGCACCACCCGCCTACTTCCTGCCCCTGTGGGTCTGCTCTTCTGGGTGTTTCTCATCACTGGGCCCCTATGGGGGCGGGGGCTTCTGTTTCTGGCTTATGTCGTGGTGTTTTCGGGGTTCACTCACCTTGGGGCGTATCGGCGACCGTCTGTGATTTTTGTGCTGTTAAGTAGCCCTCAGAGGAGCTGGAGGGCTTGGGCGTGGAGGAGTCTTTGTGGGGGCAGAGCGTGGCCGGGAGGCGTCCCCAGTGTTACAGGACGGAGTGGGGAGGAGGCGGGCGGGCCTGGCCCTCGGGGCCCCCAGGGCATGTTCCGGGTTTTGGGTGTGGGAAGAGGGCTTTATAGTTTTCACGAGCGTCTCAGAGGGTGCCCCAAACCACATGTAGAGTCTTCTGCCAAACTGTTTTATTCAATTTTAGGGTTTTTTTTTTTTGGCTTTGTTTTTGTAAAACTATGTGATAACATAGTTGCTTGAAAAAATTAATAACAAAGTGTTTTCTAAGTGAAACCAGTAACTGTCCTTCACGATGCACCTCAGGGTGTGTCTTTAAGCGACATGGTCCTTTCGGTGCATTTCTGCTGTGGATGGTTAACTTGATCTGGACTATGGGGTCTTTCTCAGGCCACAGAGGCCAGGCCTCTCAGAGTTATGTAAGGCCAATTTCATCTTTTCTAATGGAAGTAAGCTGTCGATCCCTCGCTTTGTTACTTTGCTCATCTGGAAAATGGATAAGTGAGGGTCCCAGTTTCTCCACGGGGCTCAAGGACTGACCGGGACGATACGGGAAAGGGCAGGTCTGAGCTGCACATGTGGCGGCTGGAGGAGCTGGTCTGGAAGCCGGCAGGGTCTGCCTGCTGGCCTGTAGCGGGCTCCCTACCCAGCCTGCCCGGTCCTGTCCTGTCCTGCCCTGCCTTGTCCTGTCTTGTCCTGCCCTGTCCCTGCCCTCGCCCTCGCCTCCTTCCGTCGTCCTCTTCCTCGTCCTTCGTCCTCGACCTTCGTCCGTCGTCTCGTCCGTCCGTCTTCGTCCCGTCGTTCCCT